GGGGGGGGGGGGGGGGGGGGGGAACAGAGTCGTCATCGTTCGACGTCCATTGCTATGTCGTTACGTAGTAGCGTTATTGATTACTCGTAGACTCTGATTTATTTTATTATACACTCTTGTACGTCAATCTCATAAACAAAAGGACCAACTAGCTCTTATCACGCTTATCAGCCTGGTGACCGGTAAACGGATCTCGGTAGATTATACAATGTTATTATCGTGATAAAAGTTATTTGGTCTAGATAGTGCATAATATTTATTTTTCATCTGATTAATTTTTCGCTCGATTGCCGATCCTGTCTCGATAAATCAATCGATCGAGAATTAATAACGAATTTATCGATTGGTCCATGATAAATTGGATGTTACGTCGATCGGGGTCAAATCGGAAGAAACGTACTCTAACTCGGTTATGAAGAAAATGTAATTAGGAATTTATAAAAAAAAAAGTTTTATTTTTCTACCAAAATTTTTTTAATTGTTTTTTTTTTCGTAAGTATCCTTTCCGTTTTTTTTTTTTTTAATTGATTATCCTCAACTTCGTAATTATTCTTGACGGATTTTTACTGCTTAACGTTATCGTGATCTTTTTTTAATTTAATCATGCAACATTTTTTTTTCATTCTAGTCTCGTGCCAGTGTCCTTTATCTATCTTTCTCTCCGTCCGTTCTCTTCCCTTTCTTCCTCCCCTCCTCGCCCCTTAGTCTTCCTGCCATCGGACGTACAAGGGAGTACTCAACTGGTATCGGTGTCCAGTTACGTTCAGTTCCAGTTACACGTGCCTCGAGCATCGAACCATACGATACTTGGTACCTAGTCGCCTGCTGCAGGCAACTGCGTTTTCTGCCCTTTAGGCGGGTTTACACGAGGATATGTTATACCGAGGTACCACGGTAGCAGGATATGCAATGATACGAATTAATTGAGTAATGGCTGATAGAGATTTTATTCATTAAAGAATTACGTCAGCACGCGCTATTATTATCAAATAACATTTATCGAGTATCAGTTATTATTTATTTATCTTGACCGATACTAAGTACGTTTGCAAGACGCCTAAGTTTATCCGGAGGCCTAATCGTATTTTTGGAATTACGCTAAAATTTCACAACCTCCAGCCAGCGTGTCTAGTTTAACGGGTACGATGTAAAAAATTTTTCTGTTTTAATAAGATAACAAATTTTTTTTATCGATCAACGAGATTTCGAATTCGAGCGTTTCGATTGGCGTTCTTTCCCGCGTGGCGGGGATTGCCAGAGAGGCGGCTGAGACTGCGTAATAATTTAATCGAACGTAGGACATACTCTATGAAAGAATAACAGGGGAAAATAAATAGAGGAGCCACCGGTCCTCGAGTTTCTACGGAGTCTCAACACCTTCGTAATGTTTCGTCCTGACGTACGTGACAGAAACCAAATGGCAGTTATGCAAATAAAGGCTCGGCTTATTATTCGAAGGTTATGTTCCAGCCAGGACGCACGCACTCGAGACTCCCTGCCTGAAATATTCGTAATCTAAAGTTACCAAATTGACCTCGGTGGGTTCCTTATCGCCTTAAACAACGACAGGTTCTGCTTAGTCCTCGAGCTGTTTGTGCTTCGGAGGATTCCGAGAACGTCGCTGCGGTGTGTTCGTTCGTGTGCCGATGTGCCTCAGGGTCAATCGGGGCCAATCGGGAGGGACGAGATTGGTGCCGATCGATCCGAGTGTCTATTGGAGGTTAGGATTGCCGGTGTCTGACGTTCTCTTAGAATGCTGGACGATCATTGGCTACCAACCTACCTTTTTTTTTTTTTACATTTTTTTACCATCATGTTTGATTCCCTCTGGCCGTCCTACTATTTCGTGTAGGGGTCACGTGTGACACTTTTTACCGTACGTATGCTCGATCGGCGCTATTGTTCAGTTCTGGCGAAGTCGCTGGTCATCGGTCACGAGAATCGTCATTACCTGGATTTTAATCAAGATATACGATTCTGATTATCCGATCGATAATTTATATTGTAATTTGAGTATATATGTATATATATTTATTGGTATCAGATGTAGAATAGTGGAATTATGTTTACGTGCTATAGTGTAGGTCAGGTTGAAAGGAGAGAAAAAATAATTTTTTTTTACAGTTAACAACTTCAGCTCGGAGTTACCAACCGATTGCATGAGCACGCCCGTCAAGGAACTGAACTCTTCGGTTAGGAGCGTCAACCGGAAGAGACAGTATCATCACATGTCGACGTCATCGCATTATGACAATAATCACACATCCAGCAAAGTGCCACCCCTGATTCACTCTACGAGTTCATCCCACGTGGGTCATCATCCCTTGGAGGAGCCAAAGGGTTCCTCGACACCGGATACCCTGCAGATCGCGACGAACGGTAGCGTCTCCACGTCCAGCGCACCTTCGACGCCTACCGCCACGACGGAGACCACCGTAGCTGTAATTGGCTCGACTAACAATCCGACCTCTTCAACGGCGACGAAGCCGCCGTTCAGCTACGTCGCCCTGATCGCCATGGCTATCGAGCAGAGTGCGGAAAAGCGCGCCACCCTTAGCGAGATCTACGCGTACATCACCGAGAAGTTTCCTTACTTCGAGAAGAACAAGAAGGGCTGGCAAAACTCGATACGTCACAATCTTTCGCTTAACGAGTGCTTCGTCAAGATTCCGCGAGAGGGCGGTGCCGACCGCAAGGGGAACTACTGGACGCTCGGTAGGTAACTGTTGGGGAATCCCCGGTCTCGATGGAATGTTCTAGAAAAGGATGGACTGACTTTTTATACGTTTTCAACGAACCTTACAGATCCTCGACACAACAACATGTTCGAGAATGGAAATTATAGAAGACGGAGACGCATGAAACGTTCCTACAGAACGACGCCTTATCACAAAACGTTGTTCAGCGACGCCTTTCCGTCGCCTCACGTTCATCTTGGAGCTACGAGGAATCTCTTTGCGCCGCCGCCGCCGTCTTATCCTCACGCTTACAATAGATACGAGTCAAGGTAACCATTTTATTTGGAATTAATTGTACGCTCGGTGGATGTTAAAGATATTGTTGTTCTCTTTATTTACTTATTCTATGCTCTTATTGCAGTCCAGCTTGGAGTCTTCAGCAGTCGCAGCTACCGTACAGTCCCTGCCAGGCCAATCTCAATGTAATTAGTTGAACTTGTTCCTAGGAAGACTTTCGACTCGTCGAGAGTCTTCGAATTTTTAAATATCCCCTATACAAGCTTGCACTTCTCTTCTCGCAACTCAGGCGCCGTATCGTATGTTGCAGCTTCAGCCACAGCTGCAACCAGTGCAGTCTATGCAGATTTCGACCATGAACGGCTACAGTCAACTCAGCACCTCGCTAGGTGAGTACTTTATCTGATCCCGAGGACAGGCTTTCCTTATCAAAATGACAATCGACGATATGACAAAGCTTCTCAAGGCAACTACCTGGACATTCCAGGTGGCCCTACGAGTTCTCCAAGCTCTGTAGGCGGCGGTGCGTTCAGTAGCAGCTTTCAAGCTTGCGGAAGGAGACACGATTCCGCCATGTTGTCTGACACCATGCCGAGATACTCATATTGGTCCGACGGTGGGTAAAATTTCTTTTTTTTCTCTTAGACTTTGTGATTTTACATTTTTTTTTTTTTTCATTTATCCATTTTCTTTTTGTCTTACTCGCACTTTGCTTCAGTAAATCAGTATTTTGTCTGAGAATCCTGTCCTTGTCGAAATTAAAAGAAAGCGGAATTACATGTCACGAGATGGAGAGAAGTAATACCTATATATTATGCAGTGCGAGTCCCGTGTTCAGAAATCAAGATCGAGACCTAAGATCGATCGCCGTGAATAATTCAAATCAATAAGAACGTCACGGCGCGACGCCCATTCACCCGCGTCGCGACGGCGGATAATTGCGTGCCGATTGGCACCTTTAATTAATACATATGAAATATAAGAGAAATTATTAGAACGTATTACTTGTATATTTTAGATGTTTTCTTCATTCGTCCCTTTTTGTTATAACAGTGAGCGTCAAAGAGGAGCCTGGTAGTAACACGATGACGTCCGGTGGCGTCGGGACGGTTAGCTCCATCATGGTAAGACCCTCGACGACCTCCAGCGTCTCTTCGACGGGTTTTCCAGGCGTCGACTTTCAATCCCTTTCCAAGTATTCCCTGTGAACTTCGTCAAGCTTCTACCGACGTTACCATCACCATCCACCATTTTGATTTCACTCAGCATCCCGATTATGGATCAATTCTTATCGGAACACTTTTACTTCTTGGAACAGGACGGTTTCCTAAGTAAGGACTCCTGATGATGATTCTGTTGCTTTCCGGATTCACAAGTCCACGGGAGTCAACTCCTGCAGATGAAACTTTTACAATCGATAAGCTTTTATTATCCATCGGACAACGTAATCGATTCGTTGACGATTAATTATATGCGCTCTAAGCCTTATCTCAGGACTTCCCTGAATCTCAAAATATTATTTCAATCAGTTACGACTACGAGACCCTATTAGATCGTTCTATTCGATTGAGAGTTGCTTATGTACAGAATTATTCGTAATAAACGTGCCGCCTGAAGTTAGCCTCTTCATTTGATTTTTCTGTGTACTAGAACCAACTTCAGATGGTGCGTTTCCCGTGAATAACCGTATATACATAACTAGTGAATTATTCCGAAGTATCAATCGAATTCACTTTATCCAAATGACTATCAAACTGATATAGGGTTACGCTTATGGAAAATCAAAATAAAATTGAGATAATAAACAATAATAGTCATTTAAAAAAGACCCCATGGGTTTTTACATTGGAATGTATTGTTTGACTGTTAGACAGTATTCGATCCGTTCCCTTCGAATCTCCATGCTGATTTGTAATGGCCTTGTCCCGAGCATGGGATTCGCAGGTCAAGAAATAAAGCGCGTTATGATTACACAAGCAAGAATAATAATAATAATAAAACGAAATAATTCTCAAAAAATGTTGCGATTCCTTTAAAGCGTATGCATGGGATATGAAAGTGAAAAAAAATCTTTATACCTAAGTGCTCGAAGAATCTTACGTTACAAGAATGAGAGTGTCTACTTAAAAGGAAGACATCGAACTCCCTAGTACTGTGTGAACGCACCTTTATTCGCGTATGCGAAACATAGATAATCATTGTATTGTCAGTAACATCAATGTATATATATATCTTTAAGAAAAGTTGACACATTACAAGTACGTTAAGTTTATGGTTAAGTTAATTGTTCAATAAATCTTACGGCAAGATAAATTCCGTATAAACAAATAAAAACAACGCGACGATTTAAACGAATAATCGATAACGGACAGAATGTTACTATTTTTTTTTTCTAATTGTATTTCTCGACTTGGCTGCACTGTGAGAATCATGCAATTAGGCAGCTACTCGCAAACACTATACACGTATCATAAACACACACAAAACAAACACGTGTAATACAATGATAAAGATAGTGATAAGGGTATCGAATAAATTTCAGTTATTTATCGTCAACTGACGGTGTTATCCTTTGCTCTTTATCCCGCTTTGATCTGATGATAATTATTGTAATGAATTACTTACATGGCTCAATAGCACTGTGTGGATTATAGATACAGAGTAATATAGTATAGTGAAATATAAAATGGCGGAAACTGCTCTCCCGGAAGCCGCAGTCTAGTACCTAGGACAGGCAACTCGCGTGGCAAACCGGAAAATCAAATCTCCAAGCTCCGCCTATCATTTGCTACGCGAATGGGACCTGCCATGGCGGGACCAATGGGCGTGAATGTTAGTAAAAGCGTGTTTAGCAAACACGCGGAGTCGTAAAGTTTATATCCACGATAAACGAGGAGTGCCAGGCTTCCTGCGTTAACGCGACGCTTGCGTCGAGACGCACGGCATCCGCCAATAGCGCCGTCACATTACACGCATGGGACAGTAAAAAAGCTTGACATGCGCAAAAATGTTGTTATAATATTCCATTTCTATGTTCCCGTCAGTTGAGGACGTACAGAGATACGTAAGAACGTCTTATGGAAACACGATTCTTCATAGTTAACGGTGGCCCAAGAAATTTGGACCTGTAAAACAAGAATTTTTCCATAATTGACTTTATATTTTTATATAACCTAAGATATTCTAGAGTATAATTGTAGTATAGCTACTGTTGGTCCAAGAAGCCAGACTGCGTTAAGCCTGACGATAAATCATGCATCGGACATGCGATTGCAGCTTGTTCCACCTTCAAAGAAAGTGGTACACGATTGAGCACGTATTCTTGCACTACGATAAAGTTTTAAGGATTTTGCTTGAGCTTTAGTAAATATATTTATTAGAACGTTATTCGGTTAGATGATAGAAATCGTTGAATGAGAGAAATGAGAATTGTGTCTTGAGATGGTGATGAATCAAATTGAGTTGCTGGTGAATAATTAGTGGAGGGGATCAGAGAATATGAAACAGTGTATAAGAGTACATGAAAATATGTGAGAGTATATATGAATGTACCAGGGGGATCAGGGAGGAACCTGTGGAAGGGAGTAGGTCTCGTTGCCAAAGCTCCACCCACGTAGGAACATTCAGTGACTCTCAAATTGTACTGATATCAATGTGATTTAAGAAATTTATGAGTATTCCTTTGTCTGAAATCTGATTGATTGGTCTGAACAGGTAAACTAGGTAATGGTGCAGGACGAACAGTGTTGACTATGAAACAATATCAGAAATGAAAGATAAATTGACGAAGCTCTATATTATTTTTCATAGAGAATGAATTTCCTTTGTGAATTAATTTGATTGAATGATAATTTATTGCTTCATCTTCCTCTTGTATATACAAACCAAAGAAGCCATGTATCACTCTTTTTTATCCCCTTTGATAATCAATAGGAGAAACAATCATTACCCCTTATCCAGTCATGTGGCATCTGAGAGACTACTTGAGATAAAGGTAGATACTTCATATAAAAATCACTCATGAGGGTTGAGAGTTGATCAAAAAAATATGTGATTCTTCTGAAAAAAATCGTCGGACATAAGATACACAGTAAACCAAAACTCTTACCAAATTTGATTGAAACTCTTATCCTTAAGCTAATATCAGGAAGTATTACTTATCCATAGAATTCCTTGTACCCGTCAGATAACATACGAGCGGATAGATAATCAAACCAGATAAAAGAATCCTTTTGCTTCTGATAACGAGAACGTAATTCATAGTGCATTTCCATGAAGTGTAACTGCAGCCCATGGTAGACGTGCACTTATGAGTGATGGTTTCCTAAAAACGCAGGACACACAAACAGCAGTAATAACGAATTCCTTCAAGAAAGAGAATGCACTCCTCCAGCAGGATTCGTTGGGGACGTTTTCTCAGAATGTTATTTCCGAATTTCCTCTAATTGTTTGATAAGCGCACCACTCTCAACATAAACATAAGATAGTCGAGCCCTGCACAAATATACACGTTAATCTTCACGTCCATCCCCATAGCCATATCCAAGTCAAAAAGTAAACTCTTGGTAAGCCCATTAAATGCCCGCCAAACACTTAACGGACAGTCCTCATCATTCTTTTTTATTCCTTTCTCCTTCCTCTCTCTCTCTTTCTCTCGAGCTCAATCCTCCATTTACATTGAGCTCTCTTTCAGGAGTTGAAAAGATTTATGCCGTTTACAGCCTGTCGTCGATTCCTCCCAGACAGATCCTAAAAAAAAAGAAAGCCTTATAGTACCGACACTATGTAAACTGAAAATAATCAGTGTTAAAAGGACGACAAAGGAGCGTACTATTAATTCCACTGTCATTGTATTCAAATTGAATTGTCTCCTTCGATGATAACTGTTATAAATGATCTATAATAAGACGAGGGATTATTGTACGGTGGTCGTAAGGAATTAAAATTAGAACAAGGAACGTACGTAAGAGACTCGAGTGATCTTCATGAAGTGGAAGAGGACGGACAGATGGAGGTTGACGAAGAGGGAAGAGGAGCGAAGAAGCGAAGGTGAAGCACGAAGCGCTGACTGACGCTCGACAGCTGACTGGTGTCTTGTGTCTAAAACAATTCAATGTCTAGGATGATGACAAAGTGAAGTTATTTCGCAACTGAAAATAATTCATGCATTCAAATATTATTATTTACTTAAATATTAAAAAATATTGTACACAAAAACTAACCATAATCCCAGTTTCTTCGGCAACCGAAAAGACTCCAATCCGCGGTGTCATCAGAACGTGCTGGCTTATTCCGGATGGTCGACAGGCATGTGTGTTACTTGAGTGAACATGCACGTTCACGTCTGCATATGTGGAAAACGGTGCGTGTCAAGGGGTAGAAGGCGGAGGTGACGTATAGCGACAGGCAAAGCAGGCGTGCCGACCGTTTAGGCGACTATTAGCAGCCACGGGATTCCACACGTGCGCCTGACTCGCACCGAAGACATCGTCGAGAGATCCATTCGAGTATTTTCTTTTACTTTCTTTAGTTAAAATCTTCCCTGTTTCTTATTTTTTTCCTATTTCTTAGCCCTTTTTGGGTTTAGAGGTGTTAATGGCAATTGGCTCTCGGGCATCCCTGGAGAATTGGCATCGTACCGGGTATGTTTGGAATTGAAATTGAGCACTGGGACGTTAGAAGCGACGATTAAGACTTCCCTTGAGTGAAAAGGTCATGGATCAACGCCACGTAAATTCGTTCTGAATGACAATCTGTTCGGATTGTCTGTAGGTTAATAGGTTACTCTGAATTTTTGACATATTAAGTATCAATGATTGATTCTACGATGCGTCTGGTGCAGAGTCTTGTATTTAGGAGTTTTAGGGCGAAAAGGAAATCATACATTAAATGCTAGTTACCTAATATCAGTGGCTATTCAGATATGATGAATGGCCTGAGTGGAGGTTATGTTTCGGAAGCTGTCAGCTGGCTGTCATAACGACAACTGAGGTCAGAATGACACTATTCAATGTTTCGAAATCATAAAACGACGCAGCCTCGATCAGAATGATGCACAGTTTGTCTCACCCGAGTGGACAGAAAATAGTCGGACTAATACCGGCTATAAAATTGTCGACATCAGAGGTCTCTTTCGCGTAACACAAGCAACTATTAGTAGAACGATCCATCTGATTCCTAGCAGACTACACGAGAACAGTCAGGTAACCCTAAAAGTTAACCAAAATCGAGTGCACTATTTAAACGCCGTGATAGCTGTGATTAAAAAAACATACTTTGAGTAAAGCGGTGAAACGGAGTGTAGCAGGAAGAGGAAGATGGAGTCGCGGGTGGTGTCGAGCATCGTTGTTACGCAGCAGCCATTCGCTCGTCGTCAGCTATCCACATCTCATGGTGTCACCTAGAATCAGTTAATTATACCAGGAAGATCTCTCGGGACCTGGTGCTACTCTTATTAATCTCTTTCTCAGCACAGTCGACGAGGCTGCGCGCAATGACGTGGGCAATTTGTAGCTGAGTGTCAACGAAGCTATTTCTATTTTTGAGCGAGCGGGCGTGCAGGGTGGAAAAGAGTGAGATACGAAGACAAACTTTCCTCTCGCTCTCACTTTGCCTTACTCTCAATTTTATTTTCTCCGACCGTTACACCACCATACGTTTTCGTTGGCTGGTTCTCCTTCGAGACGAGTGACGCGCCACTTGTACGTGGCGACCCCGTAAATTCGCATTCACGACAGCCAGTCCTCGTGGATTCGTTTTATCTTTTTGAATATTTCCCGCGGATTTTAACTTCGCTCGTAAAGCATATCGAACGTCGCGGTATGGCGACAGAGACCGTTTAAGCAATTAATTAGTATAATTAAACAGCCAACTCTCGTCCGTCAACGTTTATCCTTTTTTTTAACATCACTTCCGGAATGATTCTTTATACAAGCGACGGCCAGAAATTCCACGATTGTTTACTATCTGGTATCCGTGCGATTCTCAGAATGGAGAAATACAAATTGTTGGATCTTTGGATTGTGTTGTTTTAATAGCTTCGGAAAAGGCTTTATATAGTACAAAGGCTTTTGTATACAACCGTCACGTCATCCTGAACACTTGGATTAAATTCAAGTTCGCACCTGTGTTTGATAAGCGAATCTGAGCGCATCAGCAATGAAGTCATTGCTCAGGTAGTGAGTCATTGTCTATGCTACGAGGTATAATATAAATTCTTCAAACCTCCTTTATATCTTCCTACCGACATCTTTGACTCCTCAAGAATAAGAGTGCTGACGGAGCTGCTCTCTGCCAAGAGTTACGTCTTAAGTTCGTTCAAAGAGGTCGCTTGTATTTTCTGCATCGCCAAGCAAACCAAGTACACGTAACCATCGTTAACGTGTTGCACTCATTTCCTTCTTCATGCCGCAAGCACCCCGCGAATCCTCTCCTTGGTGCATTATTAATGAACATATTTTGCCAGGGTACAATGCGCTCTGGAGCACGTACTGCTCGTGCTAACTGCTCTGTTTTCCTGCTTCGCTAGTTCTTGAGCCAGCACCGTTATATCCCGGACTTCTATTTGCTGCGTGAATTTCCACTTTTTTTCATACTGTTTTTCAATTCACGACCTATTCACCATTGTGATATTCACAAAACGGGTATGATCCATTGCTACCAATTCCTTTATTCAAAATTCTATTTTTTTAAAGTTTATATGCTATGCACTTTAGTACATTTTTTTTGAGAACCCTTAGTCTTTAGTGGACGTGCAGGAACCAGTGGATGGGATTTAGCAAGATGGTAGGTAAGTGCGGTAGAAGAGACGTGCGAGTCCCTTGAAGATGTTTGCCAAACAGACATGCAGCGTAATCCTGTTAAATATTATTTTACAAACAGGCAGGTGTATCTGTTACAGCGGGACGATGTGTTCAAAACACTTTAAAACTGCTTACTAACTAAGTCACCCGGGATACATCGCTCGACATTTACCGACGCAGTGGTGCGCATGCGCAAGCTGTATCCTTCAGGCTTAAAAAAATTTCGTCGATTCTTAGCACGACTGTCGTCGAGCTTATTTCCTATCTCTGACACTTCACACTCGTCATATTATATTAACAATATATTTAAATCTCATTGTTCATCATGTTAGCGTTCTCGTAACTTTTCATACAGATTATTTATATGCGATATAAATTCTTGTGTATATAGGATTTCTTTCTTATTTTTAATACTTTGCTAATATTCGTCGCGGGAATGAATGATCACGGCAGAATGAAGATACCCAAAATGGCGTCCACTTATTCATCTCAACGGCGCTAATCCTCCTCGCCCAGAAGATCCTCGTCGATATTTATACCCTGAAAGCATAAAAAAAAAGTTTCAGATTAGTGGTTGTATGTTTCAACAAGAAATATCAAATTGTAATGGCCGATAAGACAATAAGTGGGGAGGATCGACGATTTGTCTCGGGACGTCGATTAAAATAGGTTCATACCCCCCTCCCCCCCAATTGGATATTTATTTTCACTAGAAAATTTCTATTTTTCCAAGAAACGTCAAAACGAAGAAAGGAACTTTTAATTAGCTAAGAGAAAGTTGATGTGGACATTTTTTAAAAATCCAGCATCGTTTACTTGTTAGGTCATTATAAGTAGCTACAGAAGTTGCTACTCGGAATACGATACGTGTCAGCATACGTGTGTTCCGAAATAGTAGCATATATGCGTCATAAAAATCAGCAGCGTATCATTATGGGTGCGGCATGAAACTGATACAAGCAAGAGTAAAAAAGAAACGTGGAAGCTGTGTACGAGAGAGGCAACGAAAGGGAAGAGAAGAGAAAGTAAGAGAGGCGGTCCTCAATTTTTCTCCGAGCTTCTGCAAGACCCTCGGCTTGTTTACGGGACGGCAGTCACGCTATATTTTGTTTACAGCCTTGTTGCCATAACAATCCACTCCCAAGTCATAGAGGAGGGTCTCTGGGTCTCTGACCATTTCTATGTTTTGTCACGCCCCGTCTCCTGCTTTTACCTCGAGCTTCCTCATTAAGCAAAACCATCATACGGATACTTGAAGGCAATGCCTTGTACAGAGTGCGACGATTGTCATCAATTTAAAAAAAATATCGATTTCCACTATTTTCAAGCATTAAAAAAAATTTAGGTATCGATACGCTAACTTTGAACTTCTTAGTCTAGCGAGCCCTTACATTATTATATTATTTCTAATACGAATCAATTATTTATATTTATCAATTACAAGTTCGAGCTATTGCGTTCACGATGGACTTCAACGTGTATCGACTATACAGCTAACGTGGAGGATTGTGCATGGGGTGCACCTTTCTCTACTGCCGGGCACAACGTGTTTTAGTAATACTACACCCTTCTAGAATTACCCATATGTATTTAAGGGTATTAAGGCATCGTCTAATTGCAGCCTCTTGGCTCTTTCTCTCCTTCTCACGTTCTCTCGTTCTCCGTGCTTCACGCACTCTCTTAATCCACGATATTTCATTCACGTCAGTGTTCAAGGGTCACAGCCACTGGTATTACATATAGAAGAGGGACAAGTCGAGAGGGTCGAACACGGTAGCGACTTAACGGGTGTTACTAATTCATTGAAACGACATTTATAACTAAAAAGCAACCGCAGGACAAATTGTTTCAGTCATGCGCTCACAATCAGCTCCGCAGCTCCTGTTGTGACAGAGTTATTACGCGCAACTGCCGCTAATGGCGTTTTAATGCACTCGCCCATTGTTGTTCGGCAGGCCACAATACCGGATGATAAACTTACATCCGTTTCAGGAAAACATTGGCATGCCAGCGTGCAAAAGAGCAAAAGGAACAACTTATTCAAATGTGTCTTGATGGCCATTTTCCTTTTTCAGGACACTGCCCTCGAAAGTTGAGCAACATTATGTACTTATTTCTTGTTAATTAATTAACAATCAATCGCTTCGCACTAACTCGTCAACTTACTGAGGTATCAATATTGTCATCGAGCTCCAAATCCATTTCTAAATCATCATCGTCCATGGTCAGAGGCCGCGAGCTACTCGTTTGCTTTATTGACTTCTCGGGTACCGAGGCTTTTGACGCAGTATGCAATGGCGCCACTGGCGTCCCAATATTTAAATCCTGTAGTCTGTTCGTCACCAAATCGTCTGACGTAGACGCGTCACCATTGTCTTGGGGAACTCCTGGCAACGGCGAATCCTTGTAGACGAACGACCCAGACTGTTCAGCAGCCATCATCTCCTCGAATGGTTTACGCTCGGTGTTCGGCTGCAACGTTAAACAAAGAGTAATTAGAGACAGAAGAAAAGGGCAGGAGGTTCGGTTGCTTCCTTGTAAAATGAGTAATAGAATAGCCAACAGGTCCCCGTGTTGTGAGTGTGAGCATGTATTATTTATCTTTTGTACTGAATTGTTTTCTAAACAGCTGATAGTCTGGAATAACAAATGACCAGTGGGGTACGAGACGAAGGACCAGATATGGAGAACGACAGTGGCGCTCTGGAAAAGAAAATAGGAACTAAACGATTTTCTGCGACTTCCGGTTGATAAGTGCAAAGAACTTGCTTATCATTAACAATACGTGATCCGGTAGTATATAATCCTTTACAATGTGGTTACGAGCACCAATTGAAATATTATTTACTGGCGCTCTAGCAAATTGTTACTACTATTACGGCTAGGTACAGATATTGCAGTCTGATTGCTACACCGAATGGATTGGTCTCGCCGAGATGATTTGCACTACATAAATACAATATCAATTTATTGTTGCGCAATCATCATAAAGCTCTAGCTGCCTGTTTCTCTTTGACTACCATCTTGGGTAGGCCCTAACCGATTTCCGACATTTCTTATATAGAAGCTGAATTCGTTCTGGGGTCTGACAAGGATTCCAGTAGGTTTCACGTTTCTCTCTTGAGCCATAGCGAAAATCGTTGAAAGCTAGAAAATAAAGCGTCGATTTATTTCTTTATTTATTTTTGGTATTCCCTGCAGTATGCTACCACCTACTGAATTTGTGGTGTCCGATGGAACTTGGCTGGATGAAGATCTATGATATGGTTGACTAATCGTTTTCAGAGCCAAGTCCGTCCTGAGATTTATTGGATACGATTTGTTCAACGTGTCATGATGTTGGCACTCTGAACTCGGCCTTTATTTCGAGCCTGGTTCATGGTGTTGAGTAAATAGGTAAGAAAAATTTATGAGAATATACTGCCCTCGATCTGACGCAAGACATAAGTTTCGATGTTCATGAGAATAGAATGCTAGCAGCAGAGATCAGCTTGTGGGTAGAGATATTACTCTTGGGTATTCTCAACAATAAATTTCTGTAGAATTCGTGAGGAGTATAAACTGTCTTAAAAATTCTGGTGGTTTGTATTATGTTGAGAGTTGTACAGTTGGCGATTAAACTGTTTATATTTAATTAATTAATGAACATTGTTCTAAATACTTGATAATTTTATTCACGGTACCTAATCACTTATATGTACTGTATGCGTAATTGTATATGGCGCTCATACACGTGTGTTAAGTCATTGTTCCTGAGTGGTTGAATTGATTGTATTTTTTTTTAATTGCCAAGAAAGAAGAGATGCACATTTTTTTCTTACCTTGACAGTGGGGTAAGCTGATGCTGGTATTTTCTTCCTGTTTTCTTGTCTAAGAAACTGCTCAACCTTAAGGGCTTCTCTGTAGCCAGGAAACAGATTTTCATACTGCTCAGGATCGGCCAGACTCTGTCCAGCTTTCTCGCTGACGGCTGACAACTTTTCTCTCCACAATTTCACTATGGAGGATATTTTGCTGGGGACATATGCCTGGGCAAAGAAAGCAGCTTCTGGGATTCTGTCAGTTTTTATCAGAATATCCAGACACGTGTCCACGTCGCCAAGAAGGAAGTTTGACAAGAAGGAAATATTGTTCTTGCCAGATTCGTCTGCATCTGCACTCAGCTTCTCGATCATCTTCGCATTGCCGGTGCTGGTAGCGAGAAGCAACAAACCACCGAAGTCTTGGGCCTGGTGCAGGCATTCTTGAGTCAAACGTAATTTTCCTTTTTGTGTTGCAAGTGTCGCCAACTGACGCCATTTTTGTTGGCTGTTTGCTTCTTTTGCTAGAGAATGGGCAGTCTTCAGATCTCCTAGAGCCAGGGCCAATTCGAATCTATGCTCAGGATCCGTCGAGACAGCTAATGCTTGTTCCTTGAAGCCCTATTTAAAAGATGGTGGACATGAGTCTCAGCTATTGTCGTCAACCTTTATCTAAATCAACTTACTTGTTTCTCCAAGAAGTGGGCGACTCTGGTACGATGTTCTTTCGGTACGGTTGGCAGCACTCGGTCAGCTGTCTCGAAATCTTTCCTCATAACGGCCGTCTGATACTCCAAAACTGAGAGAAGGAGTGAGTAGGAGACTACTGAGAGTTCTTTGTCACAAAGATAGAGTCTATTGTCCCTTGGTACATAACCCAGTAAATACATTGGTCTGTCCAAATGGGAGACAGTCACTATTTCACCACCAACGAAGTAGTTTATTCGGTTAACACTGTTGGTGTAAATGAAACAGTCACCGACCCAAAGACCGGTCTTCACGACTTCGCTCATTTCTGCTACCATCTACAAAAATTTTGTGATATCGTCAAACTCAATAAGGATCTTTGGGGAAAAATACAACGCTTAGATAATGATACTTCGATGAAATATTGGATTATGACAATTACCTCAAATGCGTCTTCAATGTCTTCAGCATTCTCTGCAGCATTTGCAACTGTGTCCGCGTGATACTTCAAAATAAAATATTGATCTGCTGTAGCCAACGCCACAAGGCATGCATTTTCTGCCCAATAAACGTGTGTTGGCTGAATGTCAATGCGGCGAACGAGTTTCAGAGTATCCCAGTCAAAGAAAGACAGACCGGAGCCAGATGATACACCCAACATAAAGCCACCGAATATACCTAGAATGTAAAAGACTTGTTACGTAACATTATAATATATTTTAGTGTTTTCTGGTTTGAAATCTTACCATCTGCACCAAAGTCAGGCTTGAAACTTTTCTTCTCCTTAAAGTTCTTGAACACTTTTACTGTCGTAGTGCTCTCTCTGACAGCGTACTGACTAGAATCTGCAGCCCATACGAATTCTGAAGCCTGACCGAATGCCTTGTTTCTGAGCGCCATAGCTGTGTATATGATATACTCCCCATCTCCACAGACAACTAAAAACCTTCCATTAGGATTGTGCTGAATGGTTTGTGGATAGATTTCACAAGCGCCCATATCCTTTACAGTGAGAGGTAACCTCTCGCCATCTTGCGCTTCTTCACCTAGCGCTTTTAGATTAACTTGTTGGATCTCGCTGTGTCGGGCCCATACAATCTTTCCACCCATGGAATCCATAGAAACAGCTGGTTCTTCTCTGCCAACTTTAACCATAACGCTACCTTCATCGTAACCGATGGCCACGTTGTTCGAACCACGCTTACAGGCAATTGTCCAGACCCTTTCGAAGCCATAGTTCAAGGAAGACTCTAATCGATAGGTACCGGCATGCCAGATCCTTACGGTACCGTCTTCAGAACCTGTCAAGACAATTGGCAGCTCTGGATGGAATGACACTGCGGAAATATTTTGCGTGTGTCCCTCCAGTGTTTGAACACATGTTTTATTTTGATAATCCCATATCTTCACGTATTTGTCATCTGCTCCTGATATCAAGTACGGTTTATCTCCACCATGGTAGTAATCTACACAGTTTACTCCTTTCTCATGACCTTCAAGTGTGAAATTTGCAGTGGATGATCCAAGTTGCCATACTTTTACTGTTCGATCAAGGGAAGCACTTGCAAATGTATTATTATCTTTTGGATTAAATACTACTTGCATGACATAATGTGTGTGGCCTTCGAATACTTGTTGACCGAGCCATGACTTTTCCCAATTCCATAGTTTTATCAACATGTCATCTGTAAAATGAAATAATGTAGTGAGATAGTGCTAAATCTCTTCTATAATATAAGTCAAATAGAAAGGTTTATACGAACCACTACTAGTAAGAATGAATGGTTGCGTCGGATGTACAGCAATACATCGAACATAGTCACTGTGTGCTTCAAAGGAGTGGACACGTTCTAGTGTATTATAATTGAATACTCTGACTTGCATATCATCTGAGCCAGTGACCACCCAATTTTTGCGAGGTACAAACTTGGCTGCTCTTACTGGTAGATCGCATACTTCGAAAGTTTTTACTAGAGTTTGTGTTTCGTGATTCCAAATATTCACATTGCCCTGGTACAGTGAACAGAGCATCCATGGTTCTGTTGGATGAAGATCGACACTCTTGACTCTGTCTGACCTTGCAGTCAATTTACGTTTAATATCCAGTCTCAGTGGCTGTAAAAGTAGCATAAATTTAAATCACCTGGCTCACACAACTGCAGTACAAATATTTTGAGCAACAGGACAGCACTAGCTATAAGTACAAAACATTACTCTTTTTTTCTTATCCTTGAATAAATTATAAAATATATAGATGCTATACAATTAAAGAGTAAAACATGTGTTATATCCATAAAGATATATTATATTGTATTACATTAAATTAAATACATGTAAACGCATATGTTATTATCACCAATAATCATAAGAAAATCCCGAAGTATATCATAGTATAGCAACATCAATTATTTATGATTTTTAACTAAACACGAAGTGCTTTTAAACTTTATGATGATCGGACTCCAAGAAATATGGTCCCATCAAAGTTTTGACGTGCCGGAGTAAGATTGTCACGTTCCATAAAACCCACATATTATGTTTTCGGTTTAATTTATTCAAAGATTAAATATTTAAACGCAAAAGCTTGATTTAAAGCACATACCATTTTGCACTATTTCGGCACTGATCTTCACTGACGTGGTTAAAAACTTTAATGAAAACGAGAGAAAAGTCGACCTAAACAAGATACCGCTGCCCATCAAGTTAGGACGTGGCTGATGGCTCACGCGAATATGGCGCGCGCATCTAATGAAAGAGGCAATATTTAAGCAATTACACGAAGTTTTCAGAGTTCGCTAAAATATTACAGATAATCATGAATCCTTATTATAATAACTGGACCCATGCAATATATTGAGATAAAGTTTACTAATAAATAAACTCCTATAACTAAAAAAGTGAAATGAATTGCTGTTTCTGTTGGTTAGAAAGGCGCGCTACATAACCAATAGAGCAGCCTCAAGTAGCGCGATCTAGAAATATTATGGCGGTTTATTTGAAATTAAAGAAAAACCTATCCTTGTTTTCAATTAAATTTTATGTATTTCTAAAGAAATTTTGCTGATCTGTTTTCAAATTTATATAGCATAAATAAGCCGTTAAATTTTTGGAGCGTTCACGAGCGTGAAATTATTATATTATGAATGAGAACGTTCCTGAATTATTATTGAATTCAACACGTGTAGACATTTGAGTGTAAACATTATCAAGAGATGATAATGACACGTTTCTGACTACGTAGCATTAAATCGTTGCTTTGGGCATGTAATAACGAATGTAAATCACGTATAAACCAGTAAAGGCAGAGTTATCAAATGACATATTTTAAACATCACGATTGACAGATAAGATAAATATTCATTATTGCACGTATATATGTCACCGCACATCGGCATTCTGATGAAAGTAGCATATAATTTAACAGCGTCAAGGAATTTCGTGGGTCTTTGACACTATGAATTGGATGGCGATCATTATTCTAATTGGTAACAATAGTGCCTTTCACTATATTTTAAATAGCCCCTCGTCATGATCCTATTGCAATAGTCAATACAACATAAATGTAAATTGTGTTTCAGTATCAATATTATATTCCAAAAAAGTACTCTCACAGACAGCCAATGAAGATACTCTTTACGAGGATTGTACGATTTACAACGATTCAAGTATCCACGGAGGCGAAATATGTGGAACTGATGCAGTAACGTATCCGAACTGGGTATATTTAGATTGCGTTAATTATAAAAATTTAACCAATAGTAAGTTATGTCGAATAAGTAGAAAAATAATAATACTATTACGTAATTACAACATCAACTCAATCATTTTTTTTAGTTGCTACAATGCATCTTGGACCATGCTCGAGCGGTGATGTGAACTGCATACTGGATCCAATTTACGATCCCGTATGCGGATCCGACTCTAATACCTACAGCAATTATCAAGTTTTGTTGTGTAACAATTACAGAGAATCAGCAAGTACGTACTCAGTTTGTCACTAGTACATTGTTACATTTTAGTAAGAAATACCTTTGCGCCTGAACATATGCAACCGTTTGCCTTTATGCAACATCTGTGTAACGGGATGCCGTGATTCATGCGCGTCTAATAATTGCCTCGACTAAATAAACTGAGATAAGAATTGATTCAATTATTTAAATAATGCTTCGTTTCAAGACGTGACTGTCATATCGAACGGTGAATGTACGACTGTGGATTATTGTGCCAGAAATGGAATTAATATCGATGGACAAAATAGAGTATGCGCCAGCAATGGACTCACCTATTTGAACGAAGCTCAAGTGAAATGTCTACAAAAGTACAATGCATGTAAGTGACAGTTTGTTGATGTTGAATAAACATTACGCTTCTTTGTAGTCTACGTTATTTTTACTGGTTATTTTCTTGTAGCAATAAAAATCTTGCATGACAGCGGCTGCACAGTAAGTCACGTTTACAGTATGTACGGCGCTGGTAAAACTGTTTGCAGTATTGCACGTCAGAGATACGAGTGGAATCCAGTTTGTGGTTCTGATTTGGTAACTTATCCTAACCCATTCATATTTTTGTGTTATAGGTCAGGTAAGCGAATAATACGGTATTCTGCACTTTTTGGTTATATCGGTAGTATCGATATTTTAGTGAAAATTCAACATTTTTTTTCACGCAGATTTAGAGGTTATTTTTAACGGTGAATGCAATACGGATACTATGGAGGCTTGTGTTACTGCGCACAAAAATGACACTTATGTTAATGGGACTTTGACCAATAATGATTTTACTGCTGACGATCAAGTCTGTGGCAATGATGGCCACACTTACCAGAGCATTTACCATTTAATCTGCAACAGTTACTACAATAAATGTCAGTAATGCTGAATAATTAAATAGGAATTGAGTGTACAGAAATGAAGTATTGTAATATTTTGTATTTTCTTTTCTTATTATCAGATCTATCAGACGTCCACGAGGGCCCATGCACTGGACCGGATGACAATCCTTGCGGAGCCGCAACAGAAGTGAATTCGCAAAATGCGGTTTGCGGGAGTGATGGCTTTTCTTATATTAGCCCACAAGCTCTCTGGTGTGTAAAGAGAAGCTTGAAGTCAGGTAAGTCAATTATTTGCACGTTACACCGAGTAAACGGTGACCCATCATACTCCATATTATCTTCTATTCCATTTTACAATATCCGTCTTGTCAATCTACTTCCGAAAAAAGTTTAATGGTCTCGGTACAATGTTCGGAATAGTTTTTCACCTTAACTGTACTTAATGTAAAATTTTTCTGACTATGTCGTTAACCTTATTTTTCATTTATCTATATGTTCAATGGTCATTCAACGTGAAGATTATAAAATTTCTACATGCTTATCCTTCATCGCTGTTGCCAAAGAAATCTTTTGCGCAGAAATTTCATCAGGTTACGTGATCAATTTTATGGGCGATACACGTTCAGTGAATTTTTTGTCTATTTAATAGAGTATGTATTTTTTGCGTCAAACTCACGTCTGAATAATTTGTGGGATCTATAATTGTTATAGATGATCTCGACTAATGCGCAATATTTCTGGGTTTTCCCCCGTCTTCTGACTACATGTCCAATTGTTTCTTCATGTAGCTGTGTCTATCCTTCACGAAAGTCAATGAGATAGCTAAAAATTTTAAATCACTATTTTTACAGATCTGACTTACGTTCACGATGGGCCATGCTGAGTAGGACGGTAATAATTATCATCGCCATATAATGTATGTACTTGTACATAACTAATTGGTTACGCATACTGAATCTCTTCCGCAAACTTCACCTAACAATTTAGTACACCTTTAATTTCTTTGTTTACGTCAGTGCCGCGGCAGCATGGAGTAAACAGCGTTGCAGAGCGGTTTGCTGCTAATGACAGAGGAGTCCTGCGAGCCTCTTTTCTACATTCTTGCAAGACAATTGGGCGTCATTATCCACGTTCCAGCAAACCATATTATTAAACAAAAATACAAAAAAAAAACAGATTCCATTAAATAAATGTCAAAAGACCGTTCGTAGAAGTTTAATTTTGTACGAGTTAAATTTTTATAAAATAATTTATTTTTTATCCCATTAAATTACCTGGACTTTGTATTTATTTTACCTTTTTTTTTTCGTTGACGAACAGAAGTAAGGCCGTTTTTCAGATCGTTCTGAGATTTCATCCAATTTAGAGATGTCGCGTTTGTACATTCAAATGAGCCACGCATATGCATGACCCTGAGTTTAACATACAATACAAGGATGTTGGAATCTCCTATCGATAACTCATCTTCCTTCTATTTCCGCGGCACGAATTCGAGGCGCCGTTGTTGTCAAAGATCAACACAATGTCGTCTTCGAGCCGACAAGGACTCTCCTAAAGTTCATGGCAGGTCTTGCCTTAAAAGGGTCTCTGGGGAATCCATCTTGCCTTTATATATTCTCAACCGAGTATCTCCCATGATGATGGTCTCTATTCCGTCTTTATCTGACACTTGTTCTCCTCGACAGAACAAACACTTGTTTCAGATGGATTCTGCGATTTGAACGAATTTCGTAATGCATCTTGTTCCATGGAGTTACCTTAGAAACGGATTGAAGTTTAGATTAGAAAATGAATATATGTAGAGACGTCCAGGTTGTATAGGTATTGGCATTATTATTATGTTTATACAAGATATAATTATGTTTTGAACACGAGAGATAAGACTTATGAGTCACATTGTACATTTATGGAATGAAAATAATAGTGAAATCATATAACAATTCTGGACGGTCTCTTGTAAGTAGACAAGTAATTTATTGAATACGTCGTATTAGGTATACAAAAAAATGTATCTCATGACAGATTACGAAAAAAAATCTGATCGGATCATCGACCTTGTGGCTCGTACAATTAATCTTTAGATACATTCATTCACGAGTTTCCTATTATATTACGTCTAGTTTGTTAACGCATTACGTAACCGGCGAACTATCCTTTCCATTTAGAAATATGCACATATATAATAAGGGAATCAGCATATTTTGGTAAAATCAAACCCACCTTTGAACGTCCATGAGAAAATTGTCAGTCGCATATGCTACTTTTCACAGTATATCTTGAACGTGACTATTCTTGTTATCTATTGTTTGTAAAGATACCGGTTATAATAATACAAGTTGACAAGGCATGAATAGTCAACTGTCATGAATAGAACATATGATAAAACTAGATTATCTTGAGAAAGGATCAAAACCTGTCAGTTATACGTAGTAGAATTATACATGAAAAAGATTCAAATAAAAAAAATTATATAGATATATGCTCCAGTTAAAATTGTTTATTAGTCGTAAAATTTGATTGAATTAATTAGATCACTCTTACACTGATTCGCAGGGGTCACGTATATTAATTTTATAATTCCTGACCTCTGACCCCGCATCAATCTAGTCTATTGCTACTAGTTAACATTAGTTTGAGCGACGTCGTTCTATCACGCAATTCATTCTTTGTACTATACAATCTGATAAATGTCATCTGGCACTGCATTAGGGATCCTATAAGGAAAATATTTCCAGACTTCCCACTCGGAAGCTGAAGGATTTACGAAATACGAAAAAGAACCAACAAAGATGGATGCTATTCTATTCGCAGAGAAAATAAAATTAATTGCCCAGAAGAACATTCACAAGTGTCAGTGTTACGTTTCTAAATTGGGTCTGAGACACGAAACTAAATCTAGAGCAGACTTTGCCGTGTTTTCACGAGTAAAACTTGTAGGTTATACCGAGCGCTGGAAGAATTCCAATTACTCCCATTCCGCGGGGCTTATTCAGAAAAATGGCGTCAGTTGCAAAACGTCCTGGTGGACGTAAACTGACTCCGGATAATCAGACGGTGTATATTCCTCTCACTATTCGTGAGTCGCAATTAAATATAAGCTGTATTACGAGTTACCGAGTGATACCGAATTACGCCGAAAACTACCGAGTGACTGGCAAGTTTACTAAACTGATTTACCTACTGGAATAGACGTATCAACGTACGTTATGCGGCTTATGGTAAAATGTAGGTAAATGCCCTTAATGTTGTTGAGGTTAGTGTGCTCGAGTCAAGTTCAATTCTGACAAGATTACGTAGGTGAAGTGAAATCTTATTCGACGCGAATGATCACACTTCTACCGTTGAACTACACTCGTGGGAACGCGACAAGAATTCACGTGAATTTAACAGATGAAAAATCACCTGAATTGCGGATTTCGAAAAAACGTCTATGGCATTTCGCAACTGGCGATCTCGATCGTTCCGCGAACACTCGCTCTCGAAGTTTCATGGTTATGTACTGGATCCTCGACATTCTCTTGAGTTCTTGCAGCCCCCTTTTCTTGGTAGAATTCTCACACAGTATGTAATACGACACTAAAGAACGTCCGCGCAACCCCGCACCTTTAGGTTAAGATAAGTATGGCTCATTTGACAAGCACGCAAAACTCTAATCGCGGTAATTAGCTTCCGTACTTTCCCGTATTAATTACCGCGTAGCTCGATTAAATAGCTGCGCGATTATCACGTCAACTGTGCTTTATTAAAATGGTCAGCTGACGAAGGTGCGTTAGTAAGGTTTTCTATGTTGCTTACAGACTTGACCTAATTTTTCTTTGTAATTTTCTTCGGTTTGTACCCTCGTTTTTGTATCCCTCGTACCTCTAAGCTAGATGCGCAGTAACTCTGCGCCGTTGGAGGTCGTCATGAATTTTCCCCATAGATGGGGACACAGCTGTCTCTTAACTTTTCATGGCGGATGTCATATATCATATTCTCCTTCTTCCTGTATCTCACTCTTTGTTACTAGGAATTCGATGATTACGCTAAAAGAAATTAGATGGACGACGTTGGATTTTCAATACGTCATGCAGTTCCACGTGGACGAGTATTGCTTTCGCTTACTTTAAAGTCAACAGATTTGAAATTAAATGATTTCGATGAAAGTTTCATGACTCGCATGATGAGAATCGAGTTTGGTCACGACATAAATGCAAATTGGCAGTGAGTATTGTATTTTAGATTTATCGAATGTATCAATGATATACATTTTTCTCATTTCTTTGGGAATTGTATCATCGCTATCGATTACATGGAATTACGTAGACAGTTTATTTCACAATGATCGTCAAATCCGCAAGCGCCGTTGTCCATTGTAAAATGACTGTCGGTAAGATGCAATAACAAAGTAACCCCAAGAAAACTATCTTTACTGATCGTGAGTCCAATTCCTTTAGTAGCTTCGTAATGGCGACAAGCGACCGCGTGGTATTTTACTGTAATTTGTTCGGCAGCCGTGACCGAGTTGTCGACAAATCATCGTCGAGCGACAAGACAAATCCAAGAGAAGGAAGAAGAAGAGGAACAAATGAAAAAAGAGAGAACGCAGATGACCAAATCTTATATTGGTCTGTTAGTTCAGGATGGGTTGACATTGCTGCGACGATAAGCCAGAAAGTTATTGCGAACCAGCCCTGAGGGAGCTGTCCATCACTAAATTGGACATTTACAAGAGCCTGGTGAACGGCTACATCGTTTACTGGAGGTGGAACCTCGGAATTACAAAGTCCTAAATCCCTTTTCCTTCGAATTTCAACCTTCGCCGATATGACTTTGAATAGACATCTCATTTCCTTTCTCTCAGAGATAGGTGAGTCAGGGGTGGATGAAAGTTTACATAGGAATATATATGGTGGCTATAAAAGCAAAGCATACTCGTCAAATTAACAATGGAATATAAATTTACTGGTGCCATTGACAGTAAAATTTATAAAGAATTAAACTTCTTATAACACGCACAGTAGGTAACAGGGTCGTGACATAATAAGCTAATTGAAAAAGGGGTCAAGACTAAATATTTTAAAGGTAATAATTATTCATTGTAATTATCCACTAATGACTGTAAAGAAGAAGCACAGTGCTATGACAGTTCTTCATTGCTTTTTAAGTTGCAGGATCCAAAAAAATTTTACCTTTAAAAATGACAGTCGTAAAATATTAAATATATCAGTCATCGAAAAGATTTCTATTTGCCAATGTTAATTTTACGAGTTTGGACATTTGCTCTTTCGATTTGGCTAGTAATACTGCACGTGAGAGGCCCTGACATATTCGTCAAGCAGAAGCCCATTTTGTACGTCATATAAGCCATATAGACTACAGATCGTCAATTATTATGGTATGTACCTCCCTATATTTCTTCCAATAAATATTCATACACACGTCTACAAAATGTTTCCTGTAGAAAAAAGAGCTACAATGGCCATCATAGCCAATCTTTTATAGCCATCAGGATACTCTTTGTCCAGGTAACCATAAATGATATTCTCTCAGTTCACAACTAGATTGATAAGAAACTTGCTGTTTTCTGAACATAATTTTTTGTCTATCATACACAGCCGTAAATAGTAATAAAAGTCCCTGACATATTCCCAGGTGGTGTCTTACTAACTTATATGGCGAGGAGCATGATGGAATTCAAAAGATTATGGTTCCCTTATAGCGAACTATCAAAGTATAAAGTCGATCCTTTTTGCGTCTTTGGTAATGGATAGTGCAGGTACTGTTTCGCTTGAAACTGATTATTTTTTAAAAATTGAATTAAAAAATTCAATTCTCGAAAAAATACGGATTCCCACGTATTCTTTTGTTTTAAGGTATACAACAAGACCTTGGTTTCATTTCGCACGGTGCCCTCTTTGCCGAACGATTTTATGGCCGCTGACCTCCGCAACACGTGACCTTCCTGACCTTCGCCGCTACCTTGTCTGTTGGTACAAAACGAATTGGTGCGATGAATCGGGAGCCAGCGAAGATATGTCAGGGTTTTCTGGATGGCACACCCATATTGCTTTTATTCGACGAGAGAGGCGGAAGGTCAAAGTTCAAGAAGATTTCAATGGCGAAGCTCGTTACAGAGATATCTTATCATTTCACGGTAAATTTTGACCGAAGAACAGTAAAGGCTAAATACAATACAATAATACTTTCCAAAAATCAAGTATTACCTGAGCCAATGAA